TGTGAGTGTCCCCAGCCCAGTCACCCTCCCAAGTACAGTGAGTGTCCCAGCCCAGTCACCCTCCTGGCTCACACCCTGCCCTCCGTGACTACTGCCTGCGCCCCTAGGTTTCTGCGAAACTGCGGACCAGTTCCACACCCTGAACGGTGAGTGGTGTGCCAGCAGGGCAGAACAGGGAGGGGGGAGGAGGGGCTGAGGTCAGTGTCTTTTCTGCCCCGCTAAGCCCTGTGTCTGCTGCAGAGGTGCGGAGATGAGGCCAGATGGTGGAGAAACTGTGGACAGTGGACTGCTCTCAGAGAGTTCTGAGCACCCTGAACATGCTCCCGGAGTCTTCTGTCTGTCCTCAGAAGCATGCCTTCACGCAGCTCTGTTGTCCTGGGGGCTTCTCAGTAAATGTCAGACTTGGCCCTGGGTCTTTTCTGTCAACTTGGACTGGAGTTCTACCAGGCTGAGGTGGGAAGGGAAGGCAACTTGCCCCCTGGCTATTGGATGATTCTGCCCTGAAGACCAGGTTGGGCTGGAAACTGTCCTTCTGCCTAGAAGCAAGAGTCCCTGCTCTCTCCCTGGGCCTGCTTCCCTTCTACAAAGAAGGCTTCCTCTGCTCTGCGGCATTTTCCTTCTCTTACTCCCCCATTCCAGCCCACCTTGCTGGCTTAGTGCCCATGGTGTATGGGGAGAGGCGGACTCAAGGCCCTGCCTAAGGTACCTTCTCTGGAGAGGGACACAGGCTTCCCAACAAATCCTCTGGGCCCCTCCTGACCCTTGACCCTGGAGGCTAAAGAGCTATAGGTGCAGGGATACTTGCCAGGAAGAATCCAGGGTGGGTTTAAGGGAGCAGTTGGAGCACATAGAGTAGAAAAGCTGTACCCCAGGAACAAGGAACAGACAGCCTTCTTCATATGGGACCAGTTAGGGGTGAGCATGGGGCTCTCAACATGTGGGTCGAACCCCTGATACAGCTGTCCCCACAGCAGCCCCTACTGTCGTCAAGGTTACCAGCCACAGGCAGCTAAGTTGTGCGTATCCCCATAAGGAAGGGGTTAGGCTTTTCTAGACAGGAGCATTGTTCTTTCCAGACATGGGATGTTTGCTTGGCTCTGAAGGCCAGGGCTGGAGTTTGGGAACTGGGCATCATCCCAGACACTGCTAGGCTTGCATCTGCTCTTGCCTCAGACCTTGCCTTGCTGGTGGTAGTCTGACCACTTTCAGCGCTCATTTGGTAAACGTTTCTCAGGTGCCCCAGGCCCTGGGGACACAAAGTAGGCAAGTCCTTGCTCCTGGGAGCAAGACTCAGCCATCTACTAATGACAGGAAGACAAAGGTGGGCTAGCCCCTTGGCTCCCCAGCTGGCCATGTCCTCCCCTCTAGCCCCAGACATCCCAAGTGAGCAGTAGTACTAGCAAGACTGCTGTGTGATTCCTAGAGCAAAGTCAGGTGAAGTCTTGTCTGCTGGCCCATTTTGGAGAAATGGGAACTATAGTTATAGGGGTGGCTCTTGGGGCCACAGTTGCCCCAGAGGAAGTTCTGATCACCTGGTCTCGGCAGGGCAGGAAAATAGATGGAAGGAGAGTGGACCACCAGGGGCCTTGGAAGGAGGAATTTCGGGGGACTGTCCTATCCACAAAAAACAGAGTTCACAGGAGCATGCTGGCCCTGTGAGGCCTGGCATTGGCCTCACCGCCCTGGCCCCAGGAACACCTTTTCCTTCTTGCCTTGCGTTCCCTCAGAGAAAGTGATGAAAGGGTTGAGCTCCCATAGCCAAGGCCCAGCCCTCTGATCTCTGCCTTGTTGTCCTGTGGGGCTGAATGGGCTGAGCCTGGACCATGCAGCCATTAACTTTTGTGCCAACCTGAGGAGATGGCTCTAGAATTGGCACATGTTTTAGTTTCATAAATGTTTTAAAAGCTCCAGTTAAATTTGAAAATTTTAGGTAAAATTATGGTAACTATATCTCTCACATACACACACACACACACACGTGGTGGTCAGAGGGCAACTGGCAGGAGTTAGTTCTCTCCTTCTGGGGACCAAACTCAGAATGTCAGGCCTAAAGACAAGTATCTTTACCTGCTGAAATGCATCACTGGCCCCTGCATATCTTTTTCATTTTAAACTGTTTTTCTTTTTTTTTTAACGATGTATTTATTATGTACACAGTGTTCTGCCTGCACATATGGCTGCAGGCCAGAGGAGGGCACCAGATCCCATTATAGACAGTTGTGAGTCACTGTGTGGTTGCTGGGAATTGAACTCAGGACCTCTGGAAGAGCAGCCAGGGCTCTTAACCTCTGAGCCATCTCTCCAGCCCTAAAATATTTCTTACAGGGGCTGGAGAGATGGCTTAGTCAGTAAGAATGCGTGCTGCACAATCATGCATTTGTGTGTTTGGATCTGCAGAAATAGTGTCAAAATTTCTAGCATGGCCAGTCCTATCGTTAAGCCCAGCACCGGAGGGTGGGGACACAGACAAGAGGATTAGGAAGCTTGCTGCATTCCAGCATAGCTCCATGTTCAGTGAGAAGCCTGTCTCAATGGACTAAGGCAGAAAGGACACCCAGTGTCCTCTTGCTCTGCATGCTTGCACACCCACGTGCAAGCGTGCACATATACGATACATACACATATTCATACACAAGTGTTATAATGTGTCGATAACCTTTGAATTCTAATAGGTAATGTATAATAGCTAAGCAAAAATAACTTTAAAAATCTGTAGACACCAATGTAACAATATGTAACTGGCCATCTTGCCTGAGACCACAGGATTAGATGCCTTGACCTAGAGGGGCTACAGAACAGGTGACCTGTCTTTGCCTTGCCTGGAGGTGAGGGGCTATACCCCTTCTCAACAGGCAGGAGCAAGCAGTAGTATGCCTGCCCTTCCTGTCCACCCAGATGCCCTATGGACAGGTGGTCCACTGCATATGAAGACGGTTTACACTCGGGGGCCTCCTGCCACTCACGACAGTGTCCTGGGAAAGAATTCTGGGGCGAGGGAAGTGAGCAGAGGACAGCACTCGGGAGTCTTCCCAGAGAGGAGACGCAGGGCAGACAGAAGGTGGTTTGCCCTGACTGTCCCTGTCGGAAGGAAAGATGGAGGTGACTGAGGAGCACAACCAGGGGGGTGGAGAGGTAGAAGACTACAAGGGAGCCAGGGAGGGGTCCTGGATGGGGAGGAGGCACAGGGCAGAAGGAGCAGGAGGGCCCTGCGTCCAGGGTGGCAGGGCTTGTGAGTGGGATGGTCTCCACTCTGAGCTGTCTGCTTCTCCAAGCTTTGCGTGGTGCTCTGGGTCGTCACCTGCCCCCTCCCTCCAATCCTGGTTTTGTAGAAGGCTATGGTCAGTTTCAGAAGACTACACAGGATCCCAGATCCGCTTCAGTTCCAGGATGACAGGACAGTTTTGTTTCTGTGGCTGTAAATCTAGTGTGGCACACTGGGCATTGGTTGGAGGTTCCACCAATCACATCAAAGGTGGGAGGAGCTGCCCGGCCTTCATTTCAGCATATGCTTGAATGGGGAATAGAGTGAAAGAGCCTCCAAAACCTAGAAAAGAGCCACTTCTTGGGGCCCTGTGTCCAGGGCTGTCTCCTGAGGACAAGTCCCCTCTGTGAAGTTTCAGCAGACCTGGGAAGGCCTGGTCCACCAAGGGCGCTGCTTGGGCTCACCCTGGAGACCTGGTCTGTCTTTGCTCTGTTTCCCAAGTCTTCTCAGTGTCCTGCCCTGCAGAAAAGACAGCCCAGGGAACAGGCTGAGATGGCTCTGTACCTCCTTCAGCAGGGAACAGGCTGCACCTCCTTCGGGAAGCTCAGTCAGGAACCACCTACACCAAGTTTGTACAACTCCTGGGTCAGCGGCCTGTGACCAGGGAGAGCACGCACCTACCTCTCACAGCCTCGAGCAGGATCCTACCCAGGTTCCTGCTCCGTAGCACCTTGCAGCTATGGGACCCCACTTCCTTAGGGACCCACACCCCCAGAGCTCCATTCCCATGAGACCTCACTCCCATGGGTCTCTACTATAGGTTCCTCCTCTCAGAGAAGGAGCCTCCGTAAGGCCCTGTCCCCACTGTGCTTGCTCTCATCAGAGCCCCGCTCCCACGTGGTCTTTCTCCCAGCTCCTCCCCTCTGCATGGAAGGTTCCTTTGGAATTCCCCCAGCATGTCCTACCTGGCCCCGGTGTTCTGAGGCCTTTCCCTCTCCCTTTGACCAGCTCTTGTTCTAACGGTGCACCGTGTTTATGCTACACTGCTTTCAGCACATGAGGGGGCTATGGAGCTGCCTGGGGGCTCTCGGGCCAGACCATAGGTAAGAAGCTGTGGAAACCAGGACCAGACATGACCCCTGCCTAGAACAAGGTGTCCTTTGGCATGAGTGACAGATTAGAGTGGACGTGGGCAGACTTCTGACCCGCTTGTGGGGACATTGAAGCGGGTGTCTGGAGTCACAAGATGTCCCCAGCTGGACCCAGCAGGCTTGCTTTTCCTTGGCTGGGACCCAGGAGACCCTGGCAGGTGGTTAGGGTCTGAGGACTACAATACCCTAGGTCAGCCCTGCCCTCCCTCCACACCCACCTGGCCTGCCGCACTTCCCGGGGAGGAGCATTGGCCAGGTGGGCGTGAAGAAACGGGTTTCTGTGCAAGTTTCACCAATATCATTCCTCAGGCAGGCCTTGTCCCTCTGGAGCCTGGTCGCTGCTGGGATGGGCCCTTGGTGGGCTCTGTGGCTGACCCTCACCCTTCCCCAAATCCTGGAGGGTCAAATTCCAAGCAAGCTTCAAGGCTTTCCCGAGCTGACAAGCTTCCACAATGACCAGGTACAGGGCTTTCAAAGGAAAAGACGCAGGTTGCAGCTGGCTAGGGTCCCGGCTTTTGGAGGGAGGGTGTATGCAGGACCATAGGCACTGCACTGGGAGGCCAGGGCAGAGCCTGAACCCGGAGTTCCTGAGTGAGCCCATGACCTCGCCCAGAATAAGGTCTAGCACCATCTTACTGTCTGTGTTGGCACTAATCAGTCCCTCTGTGAAGAAATGGAGATTTGGGAAGGCCACCTGGCTACTGACGAAGGTCACCCTCTGCCTGCTAGATTAAAAGCCGCTGCAGGGTTCTCCCAGTGTTGTTGATGAGGAGAGTCCTGGCAGGGTAGGGTGGGAAAGGGTTAGCTGTACCTATCGCCAGCCATGCAGTTTCAGGGGGAATGGTTTGTCCTCGGCTTGGCGGGCAACACCTACAGGAGAGAGCACCAGGCCCTGCTCAGTCCCTACATCACATTGTTCGAGCTGAAAAACAACAGCCGTTTTCAGGTGACCAACACCATGACTCGGTGAGTGGGGTGTCTTTCCTGTCCCAGCAGTCAAGGACTTGGGGCTGTGTCCCAGGAACCTTGCATGGCCCAGCCACACTGTGGGGTGAGGAAATACATCTAGCGACCATGTCTAGCACAGCCTGCTTAATGACCATTGCTAAAGGCCAACCCAGTGAAGGCCTGGCTGTGAGAGGAGAGGCATCGGGGCGAGTCACTCTGGTTTTCAGTACTCTTGTGTGGTCAGGGACCTCTCTCTCTCCCTGTCTTTTTTTTTTTTAATATTTATTTATTTATTATGTATACAATATTCTGTCTGTCTGTGTGCCTGCAGACCAGAAGAGGGCACCAGACCCCATTACAGATGGTTGTGAGCCACCATGTGGTTGCTGGGAATTGAACTCAGGACCTTTGGAAGAGCAGGCAATGCTCTTAACCTCTGAGCTATCTCTCCAGCCCCTCTCTCTCCCTGTCTGGATTCTCTCTGTCCTGTCTTGCTCTCCTGGGTAGGCTCTGCTTCTAAAGTCTTAACAGTGGCAAGCAGCCCCTACTTGAAGTCTGTTCATGGCCCTTTCTGGAGATTGTTGGATTGGGTGCCCGAGCTAGCTCCTGATCCCCAGAAGCTTTCTTTTTGGCATGGCGAGCCCCTGTGGATTTGAGGACCAGTGCTGGGTGGAACCGGAGTTGCTCTTATGGCACCGAGCCAGGCTTCTCTGACCGGAAGAGCAACCGAAAGGACTCCAGAGCTGAGGCCTGGGGAGTCGGGAGGGCTCCCCGGATACAGCTCTCTGCATCCTTCTGGGTTGTAGGCCTCTCTAAATAAATAGCTGACTTTTGTGTGTGTGTGTGTGGTCCACCAGGGTGGGCCTGGATGGCTCCCTTAGCCCTCTGCCCATCCCCGCTCCTACCCTTGCCTACCCCTCCCACAGGGGCAAGCGCTGTGACACTTGGTCCTATGCTCTGATCCCAACAACCAAGCCTGGGCAGTTCACCATGGAAAACAAAGGTGAGCATGGCATGAGCGGGAGGGCACAGCTGCCTTGGAGGCCTTACATGTGTGTCCCTTGGGGTCAGGGACTGGAGCAGACAGAGAAGACATACAGGTCATCGAGACAGACTACACCAAATTCGCCCTGGTGCTGTCCCTCAGACAAACAAGCATCCTGACCATCATCAGGGTCAGCCTTCTGGGTGAGCCCCTGCTTGCAGAAGCCTGGTCAGGGTGGTGCTTCCTGGGTTGGGGGATGGCTTGGGGGCAAATGCCTCACAACCACCAAGTGCTGAGAGCCACACTGTGCTCTTCTGGCCACAGGTAGAAACTGGAGGCTCCCTCGTACGATGATAGACAAGTTTGTCTGCCTGACCAGAACCCAGAACCTCACGAAGAATAACTTCATCTTCCCCGATGTGACCGGTAATGGGTTTGCAGGCAGTGGATGATGGGAAGGGGGATGGGATCTGGGGACGATGGTGGCACCTTCCCCAGCCTTCACAAGTCCAGTGCATATCCTCAGGGGGCATGTATGGGGCATTGTAGTCCCAGAGTCTTTAACCCAAGTGCTTGTTACAGAGTTCAGCCTGAATCAGCAGGGAGGTGCTCATGGCTCACGCTCTTATCTGAGTCCCAGGCCACTTCCTCCCAACCCTGTGTCACTATCCCAGGCTGCCCCCTCCTGGCCCTGGTTCTGTCCTGGGAGGATAGTTCTCTGCTCACAGGAGACTGGAATTCATCCAGGGAAGTCCTTGAATTTGGTCAGCCTCTTTCTGGCAGGAAAGTCTCGGAGAGGCCAAGGCCAAGGGGCTTCAGGGCTCAGCCCTGTCTTCAGCCTCACTCCTCTCATGGATGGATCAGGATCCCCCCAACTCCCGCCCTGTCCAAGGACCTTCCCCATCATGCCTCTCCATGCATACCTGCCCAGTCACACTTGCACACCAAGCACGTGCCCGCAAACATGCAGACAGGCACAGACTCACACACACATACCCTTGTCATTTTGAGATAGGGTCTTGAGGTGTAGCCCAGGCTGGTCTGGCAATCACGATTCTCTTGCTTTAGTATCCTGGGTGCTGGTATTTCAGGCCTGTGGCACCATACTTGGGTCACATTCCATACGGCATGCATATGGGATCACATACGTGTTTGCATTAACCTTAACACTCACTGTACCGTACCAGCAGATCTGCCACAAGTCTAGGACCCTGCGGGGGCAGGCAGGGCCACACAGGGGCTTCTGGGGGGATCCCAGACTGATGACAGAGGTGTACTCTCAGGAGCATGCCTCCCAGCCCTTTCCCTGGAACCTCTCCTGGTCTCATATCCCGGCCCAACTCCGATCTGCCTGCCTTCTGTCCCTCCCAAGTCTCTCCCCTGCTCCTCTTCCTTATCCACCATCCCAACACTGTCTGTCCCCACCCTGTCAGGCTGGACACCTAATCCAAAGGTCTGCTGAAGAAGGCAAGGGTTCCTGCCGTAGAGCCTCTCTCCCTGCTTCTGCTCTCAACACAAATAAACACGCTGCCTATGACTCCAGGATGTGACCACTGTGACCATGGGGTGGGTGAGAAGCAAGAACAGGAGCTCTGACCCTGCAGGGCCATGATGGTCATGCTCTGAGCCATCCCAAACTGCCTTCTCAGCCCCCACAACTAGACTCCTCCCACTCCTCCCTTGATGGTCTGCTATAGGAGATCACAGGCCATAGCTCTACCTAGCAGAGCCCTGGGGCCAACATGGTGGGCTGTGGTAGGCTCAGGGCGTGCCCCTGGAGCACTGGGTCTAATGGCAGGCAGGAACAGTCAGAGCCCCAGAGCAGAAGGAAACCGATGCCCCAGGCTGGAGAAGGAACAGGGTACGCCTTCTTCCTCTGGGATACGGAGACAAACATTTCTAGACTTGACAGCCATTCTAAAAAAGCTGTTCAGAAATAGAGACGCACACAGGGTCCAAAGCAGTGGGTCCAGAACCTAAGCTCCAAATGCACCCCTGAAAGAGGTTGTCAGCACAATGGGCACCTTCCCTGGTCCACATCAGCAGGCCACTGCGTGGCCCCACCCTCATCTAAGCCTATCTCAGCCCCAGTAGACAAACAGAGCAGGCAATGGCCCAAGGCCCAGAGCCATCCATGGAGACGGCTGCTTAATCTGTGGCCTTGATAGAGAGCAAATAGCACACAGAGATAGTCCACCAGACTTAACCTTTACACTGCTCGGGAGGGTGGCGCGAGGCTTGTGGGGTGGCAGTGTGTAGAATCCCCTGGGCAGGGGTGTATGGCCTCATGCCCATTTCCTTCCTATTGAGCAAGTTGTACGGAAACCAAGCACATTCTGGAACAGGGGTGGGCCATGGCCGATACAGACCTGAAGCCTTTCTTGATAATATCTATAAGACCAACCCCCATTCTAGTCTCAAGGAATACCACATGTAGAACCTGAGGTCACAATTCAGCATTCAGTTGTGCATCTGACCCCCCCCCCCCCCGATCAAACTCTACACAAGGGAGACAAGGTCTCTTTTATCTGAAATTGTATCCCAGATATATCCAAGATGGCACCCTCCACGGAGAAAGTGACAGACATCTGTCCTACTGTGTGATTGATGGTCGACCGGTGACTGCAGGATGGTAGATGGGTAGATGAAGGGGTGTGTAGGTGGATAGGTGGGTGAATGGATAGCTGGGATCTCGAACGAGACAGGCAGGAGGGAGTCAGCTGAGCACAGCCATCCACCACCCCAGGCCATGCTGCTGTGAATACAGTGTGACCAGCTGCCTCAGGCTCCTGCTGCGGTTCTTTCTCACTATTATGGATGTGCTCCCTGAGCTGGGAGCTGAGGTGCCCTCTGCTCAGTTAAGCTGCGTCATGTCAGAGACTCTGTCACCGAGATGAGAAAGGCACGCCAAATGCTAGAGCAGGCTTCGCCCCCATTTCTATCAACCAAGCTCTCCTCGTAGGGAAGGGAGTCTGACCATCATGTGACATCAGGGACAGGTGTCAGAAGAGCCACCCATGTGTCCATGCTGGGTTCCAACCCAGCCACGACCACCAGAGCCTGACCTCGCTGGGATGCAGTGGCAGAGGGTGCTGAGTCCAGACGTAAGAGCAGCGTGGGCGCTTATGTTCTCATCCTAGAACCGAGTCCACGGGATACACGGCTGCAGAGCTCCAAGATGGCTCTGTCTCCTGACACAGAGAACTCCCCTTTGTGGCTACACATCCTTGAAGCTGCGGTGAGGCTGCTCTTTCCATATTAGGAACCGAGGCACCAGCACCTTCTCCAACGCATGTACTAACAGAAGGTCTGACCCTCCAAAGACCTGACTCCCTTGCAATACCGTTTGCATCCGTGGTTTTCACACTTCCTTTTGTAGGAATCAGGCAGAGAAAATGCCCTAAAGAGAGATAGATTCCACCATGATGTGTTAGGAAAACAGCCACTTACAACAATATGCTACCCACCTCAGAAGTATTAAAAACAAACAGACAAATAAAACCAAACTTTAAAATCCACACGCAGGCTCCGCTAGGCAGCTCTCATCTCCTGGCGGCAGCAGCCCAGTCCAGGCCTCTTTGGAATGTCTGCTTAAAAAAAAAATCCTTTGGTGTAAACTAAAGAATGAGGGTCTGGCATAGCAGGTGGACCACAGAGGAAGAAGCCTCTGAACAGCCGAATGAGGAAGTGACAGAACTTAGACGCAATGAAGATGGGAATCTGGTGAAGTAGGGAAGTGAAGAAAGATGGGGTAAGATGGAGGAAGGAGAGAAGAAGAAGGGTGGTCACAACAACAGCCTGTCTGTCACTGAGGGCCACAGCCTGGCACCACTGCCACAGAGCCCTGAGCAGTGTGTGTGTGTGTGTGTGTGTGTGTGTTGCACAGCTCTCTAACCACGTCTCTCTGAGGCACACATTTGAACAGCCACAGACCTTCAACTGCAGAGAGAGGCAGTGATCCCTCACACAGTTGGGGGGTTCACGCATTGGCCTGTATCCCCAGGTGATTCCACATCAGGAGACAATGCGTAAGGCCGGGCACAGCAGATGGCAGCGGAGGCCACAGGAACTGCTCAGCCCTGTCTTTGTAACCTGTATTTTACATTCCTTTTCTCTCAAACTCAGCTCCACTCAGCATTTTGGGGTGAGGGGAGGCTACAGGCCAGTCTCTAAGTTAGTTCGCAAGTCCCCTGGCCCAGCTGGAGCCCAGTGGCACTGCTTCATGCTTAGTGATGCTGAGACTGGAGCCAGGGCATCAGGGCCTTACACGTGCTAGGTGTGTGCTCGGAACCGAGTTACTCCTTAACCCCTTGTAAGGTCCTCATTTCCAGAAGACCTCACCTTCACTGACCTTAAATTTGGGTTGCTGGTGTCCCATAACCTTCACTAGTAGGTATGGAAGTACAAAAAGTGTTCCGGGGACCCCCAGTTACCAGGGAGCACCCTCTCCTATTCTGAAGCAGAAACCCAACTTCCTCTTGGAGATGAGAGATGATGCCCTCTAGCCAAGACAGTAACCCCTCTTTCTGCTGGTCAAACAGTCACATGGGGTCTTCACACCCCTGGGTACTCAGGGAAAGCTGGCTTACCAGATAGGAAACAAAGTCTCATGAGTGGGTGATTGAGTGGGGAGGTCTTTCCACACCAGCTGGCTCCCCAACTCCTGGAATCCAGCAGTGGGGAGACAACATTTAACCATCCCCCTGCTCTAAAAACAGAGCAGTCAGGCTCTCCATAACTACCGTTAGGGAACTGCCTCATGCATCTCCAGCCTCTGGTAAGATGGGGGTGTCACGGCCAGAGCCCCCTGCACTTGTTAGTACAGTCTTGGAAGATTGGAGCAATGTTGTGCAGAGTGCAGAGACCGCTTCACAGAGGCCCCCCTGAGCAGGAGTGTTGGTTTGATGCCTCAGCCTGCTTGCTCCTTCCCACAGGGCCCACCACACCCTTCCTAATCATGGCTATGGGGACACAGGCAAAACAGAGGCCCACTCCCATCCCAGTATGAAAGAGCCCATGTTTGTGAGGTGCAAGAAGGAAACCCCACCCTCTTCTGTTCCTCTCAGACTTCCAGGGGTCAGTATAGGTGAGCGTGCAGGGGCTAGGATGCAGCCAACGTCATGCGGGGGTCAGTGTGCAAGAGGCGGGGTGTACCAGATGGCAAGTAGTTGTCAGAGGGCAGGGGGTACTGCAAGATCGGCATGGGGGTCAGAGGTTAATACACATGGGTCAGGGTGGGTGTTGGGATGTTTTAGTTTCCTCTGGAATCCTTGACTAGATGTGGGGTGGGAATGGGGCTTGTGCGCTGCTCCCCAAATGAGGGTGGGCTCCTTCTAGGCTTCACTTCTAGATCCTGCGACACATACAGCTCTAGTTCTCCCTGGGAAATACACCCAGCCCTTAAGCCCTGCCGAGTGACCAGATAAGTCTCTTTACTTTGGCCGCTGAGCAGCACCTCCCATCACCACCTGGGCCTGCTGGGCCTGGACCAGCCTGCTGGGCTTCAGAGCTGAGCCTGCGGTTTGCTGGAAGGGGAATGGGGTCAGCTGGACGAGGACCAGGCCTGTGAGCGGCCCCTCCCATTGCCACCTGGACCTGCTGGGCTCCAGGGCTGAGTCTGCAGGTTCCTGGAGGTGGAAGTGAGCAGCAAGTCAGGAGACCCGACATGTGAGAGACCTGGCCCAGCACTACAGAGCGGCCCTCCCTGAGCATGCTTCTACATTATTGCTCCCTGCTGGGTCCTAAGACCTCCAGACCCTCCAGATCTTACAGCTACCCCTTCCCCGGGGGACACTGCTTTTCCCAGGACTACCCTTGTCCTGCCCCCACCGCGTTCCTCTTAGAGTTACCACACATGTCACACCCCGTGAAGCTTCCTGGGGACACCCACAGGATCAGGACACATGTGCTGCTGGCACGAGCTAAGGGTCCCTCTGCCCTTCTTGGTCTGTAGGGAAGGATAAAGAGTTGTAAGCCATCTCGCACCCAGGCCTCTGTGTATAGGAGACAAATCTCCACCATGCTTAAAATGGGTGGCTTGGTATTCTAATCCTAGCCCTTCGGGCTGTTCATTTATGGGGTGAGAGCCAGTGGAGGAAGTAGGGAAGTAGGTCCCTAACTCCAACCAACGACGGGAACAGACAGCCCTTCCTCCCCCTAGACTGGGCAGGAGTCCTTCAGCAGGCACCAGATAGGAAACGCTGGGAAGCTGGAAGTTTGGGTAGAGAAGCAGAGGAGGGGGCTCAGGCTTGGAAGAGCATGGGACCAGGCAGGCGAAAGCAGGCCAGAGAGGAGGGTTGGAAGGATGGGGACAGGACCTACCCATGGGACGAGCCTCCATTCTGAGGGGGGAATGGGGCAGCGACATCAGCAGCGCCTCCTGGGAAGACAATCTAGTCCCTAGCTGAGGGTTTCCCCTTGGTGCCTTGGGTCTGTCTTCAGCTCTTGGGTTGGGGCCAGAGTCAGGCCTGCCATTATCCGAGTGGGTAGGTGCAAAGTGCTAGGTCCTGGTCCCCTGGCATGCCCAGTCACCGGGGA